GTGATTGAGAATGAAGGCTGAAATTCTCACCATCAGTGAATCCTTTTCTTGAATGCGCTCTACATTCTACTACGATTCAAGATTGTAAATAGTATTTTCATCGCGTAAGAGCTAGATACAGGTCGAATAATTTTTGCAATCCAGATGGCACATTCGTAAAGATAGTGTCACAATGTAAAGCCAATCCCTGCCGCCCAAAATGATTGAAGTACAGTTCAAAAAGTGGTCTGACCGTTTTCTAGCCAAAATCGTGAGGATTGCGTTTATGATTTCTGTCTAGTGCAATAATGCCTCATTTTGCCAGCCTTTTACCGTGCGTACATCGACCGGTCATCATTTGATTGCTGTAAGATGTATGCCTAGTCGCCCGTCATATGGCTTGCGTATGAGGAAACAGGTAAGTCATACGTGTCCATTGTACAAAAGTCACTAAATTTTAACATTTGGACTGCAAATATAGGGATGAAACATTCAAACAGTACCTAACAGATAGACGAAACTCCACTCTTACGAGTTCCACATATTCCGAAAATAGTACACATTTGATTTGAGGTGGTGATCTTCACTCAGCCAAACTCATCAGATCTTGGAAGCTTTCTACAACCGAGATATGTCAATTTGCCGCAGTTCGCCGAAATATTCGAAATGGATGTCTATGGTTTCGATTATTCGGGGTATGTTCGAGCTTAAGTGGTAGTCCACTAGGGCTTCAAGGTTGATAAGTCATAAGCAGCAAATATGATAAGGGCAAAAAGGCAAAACGGCTGGGTTCGGCATGACATAGCCCGTTTTCCACCAAACGTTGGAGAGGCAAGCGACAGCAACTGGACGAAATCGGGCTACCGACCAACGTACCTTGGCCTGCTACCCACCCTAACGTCTCAGCGAAAACCGCTATTCAGAAGGGCTGAAAATCCATTGACAAACCGTTCCTTATGCACAACTTTTCTCCCCATATTCATTCACTTGGAATTTTGATATGTAACAGTGTGCTGCGAAATAAGCGAACGTTTCCAGACATCCACCACATCGCAGCGCATACGCTGATCCCAATCACTAGATGCGTTGTTTAAAAGCGTTCAGACTTCGCGATCGCGCCGCCTAGCGACGTGATCGATCGCGTTGGTAGTGGTGGCGAACCGGTCGTGGTAGCGCGAACTGCGAGATTCGCGCTCAAATGCAAAAAAGATCAACTGGAACGATGATTAATGAATAGTCGTTTTCGGTACTTTTTGCTTCTTTTCTCCTCCCGCTTGCTTCTCGCTTGTTTCTTCCTCCTCCTGGCACTATTATTTCTAATCTGTTTCTAATGTTTGTCGGTTATTATGCTTTTTACCTTTGACATAGTGAAATTTTTCAGATGCATTGAAATTTTTTGGATAGACGGCCGTTCTGCGCGCAACTTTTCTTGTTTTCGAGGTGGGTTTTTCAGGTTTCCTTGCAGTTTTGGTATCTTTTGAATTCGTCGATACATCACAATTGTGCTTAGCTTGTCGCAGTTCTAAGATTCAGTAGAAACCTGTCACCGCTGTCCGTAGTAGTTTTTTTCTATTGTTCTAAATTATTCTAAACTGTGTCAGTGAAGAGAAACAATAAGTAAAACCAAATCAGTAACCACGACACAGCACAATTAGAAAACAAGAACTAAAGAGAAACTACTTACACTGCGTCAGGGTGAAGGATAACTGAACTGTCCAGGCGCAAGATACAACACAATATGATTGATGAAGAACAAAAAATATAACCAAGAAGTGCGAGAAGCCTGAAAAAGCCCAACCTCGAAACCCAGAGAGTTGCGCCCAGAACGGCCGCCCATCCAAAAAATTTCAATGCATCTGGAAAATTTCACCATGTCCAGGGTAAAAAGCGTAATAACTGACAAACAATAGAAAACAATTAAAAATAATAGTGCCAGGTGGTAGGAGAACAAATCTGATCGGTGATCGATCGCGAAGTGCTGAACGGCTGAGCCCCATGAGAGTTCAAAGACAAGCCGATGTATAAATGCAGGGTCAGCGCTGAAGCGAAGAGTAGTTCTGGCTAACGCCGTGTATAGCCCTATTCCCTTAAAGGCAGCGCCCACGTTCACTTGATGTTCCTACGCCCTTTCTGGATATCATAGCCCTCCCCATAAGGATGCAGTATGTACTAGTTTTGCATCTCACAAAGGCGAGAGGATAGCGCCTATCGCTAGTAGTCGACCGCCCCGCCCACCTGGCGACCACGACGCCCAACTTCATTTCTAATGGTTGCCTGATGGTGCGGTTGTTCCATTGCTGCTTCTCTCCACGTCGTGTGGTGAGAGTGAGGTGATAAGGGGAAAACAGCTGAAATCAACAAGTGAGAACTCGTGCAACCACTCCTTCTCTTCGCCTTAAGCACGTACAACCGCTATTCGGTATGAAACTCCTTATAGGGCATTTTGCATGTTTCTTTTTGATTTTTCTTCACTAATAGGTTTCTTGCTACCTTGCTAACGCGGGCACTGCCTTTACCTGTGACCATTTTACGACGATGGTTCTTTATTCCAGGTACGGGTATTCAACAGGAACTGTATCCGAGAAGAACATCTATGCCGATATCCGTGCTGTTTATGATCATATCCGCCGAACTCGGCCAAATAAACAGGTCAGCACTGTGCTAGTACTTGCCGCACTAAATCGCAGTTCATCTTTTTTCCTGATGTCCAGCTGCCAGGGGGAGGCACAATAGTTGACACAAGAAAAGTGTAAACAATTTGGCGGCAGGGAGGGGACTTTATCCTTTTACGGTTGCCATCGACGGTCGACTTATCAGAGCCATTTCGTGAGCTTAAGAGAGTTGACAGGTTTTTGCCATGATTTCTCGACCAACTTGCTCCAGCTTCACAATAGTTCACGAGTCCCACCAGAAGGAGGCCGCGAGACCTGGAA